TGTTTATATTTAAGCATTCATATATATATATATATATTTATATTATGTGTACAAATAAATATATATATATGTTAACTTTTATTATTATTTATAATTTATATTTATACAAACATAATGTTTATATTGATGTTTGTATATATTTATATTTATATCTCTATCGGTTGCTTATTTTATTATTTATATATTTACACATGAATATATTTATTTATATATTTATTTATATCTATATATTTATAAATTAATATAGATAAATATATTTATTTATTTATTAATTTATTAATTTATTTATATGCAATTATTGAATAATGTTCGTTTGCAGACTCATGAGCTGCCGATACACCCGAATAAAACAATAAAAAGCGAGGACAGGTTTAAAGAAAAACAAAAAAATATTTATTTTGCGCTTTTAGCTGCTAATGAAAATCAAATAAAACAACAACAAACTGAAATACAAAAAATACAAGATCAAGTATGGCAAGGGTTTAGGGTTTAGGGTTTAGGGTTTAGGGTTTAGGGTTTAGGGTTTAAGATTGCTTAGGATTGTTTAGGGTTTAGGGTTTAGGGTTTAGGGTTTAGGGTTGTTTACGACTGTTTACGGTTGTCAAGGGTTTAGGGTTTAGGGGTTACGGCTGTTTAGGGTTTAGGGTTTACGGTTGTTAAGGAATTTGAGTTGCTAAGGGTGTCGGGTTTAGGGTTTAGGGTTTAGGGTTTAGGGTTTAGGGTTTGGTGTCAGTGTGAGTTAGACAAGAAAAATCTGCAGACTGCCCTGGCGTTTAATTATAAATTAAAAGAAGAAGAAATGAAGAGAAGAAATCAGCGAGAGATACTTCAACACAAACTCCAGGTACCCTAAACCCTAAACCCTAAACCCTAAACCCTAAACGCTGAGCCCTAAATAACTTTAAATAACTTTAAATAACTTTAAATAACCCTAAACCCTAAACCAGCAAAAACACTTATAGCATTAGAATCCTCTTGCGTTGCAACTCTAAACCCTAAACCCTAAACCCTAATAAACCTTGATTCCTTCTAAGCAGATTATGCAGAGAACAGGAGCTGCAGCCTGTGCTCTAAACCCTAAACCCTAAACCCTAAACCCTGAACCCTAGGGTTTATTTATAGGGGTGTCTGTACAGCTGGAAGCAGCAGAAACGAAGGCTGCATCTCTTGAAGTAAAATACAAGCATTCGGAAGAACGATATGAGGTAAATAAATAAATAAATAAATAAATAAAAATAAATAAATAAATAAATAAATAAATATTTAATTAATTATTAATTAATTAATTATTTAAAAATATTTATTTTAATCTAAGGGCATTGCTCTGTTTTTTTTTGTTTTTTTGTTTGTTTTCTGTTTTATTTCTTCATTTGTTTATTTAATTAATTTAATTATTATAAATATATAATAATACATATAATATTGATAGACTTTATTTCTACTTAATTAATTTAATTAATTAATTAATTTATTTATTTATTTGTTTATTTAGGAGGTGGCGTCTGCTTTATGCAAGACGCATGCAGCACATCAGGAAGCGCTCGCGCAGCTCTCAGCCAAAGTAAAACATTCAGGGTTTAGGGTTTAGGGTTTAGGGTTTAGGGTTTAGGGTTTAGCACTACGGTCTAGGGTTTAGGGTTTAGGGCTTATCGTTAAGGGTTCAGGGTTTAGAGACTATGCTTAACGGTTTAGATAGTGGGTTTAGGGTTTAGGGTTTAGGGTTTAGGGTTTGATTTGCTGCAGCTGCAAATGAATGCTGCTGAGCTGCACACTTTAAAATGTTTTATTCAAACGCTGAAAGAAGAAAAACTCAAAAAAGAAAAACAAAACGAAGAACTTCAAAATACCCTGGAGGCCACGCGCGACGTAAACCCTAAACCCTAAACCCTAAACCCTAAACCCTAAACCCTAAACCCTAAACCCTAAACCCTGGCTTAAACCTTAAACCCTAAACCGTAAACCCTAAACACTAATCGCTGCACTAAACCCACTACCGAAACCCTAAATCATAAACCCTAAACCCTAATCCCTAAACCCTAAGCCCTAAACCCTAATCTCTAAACCCTAAAAATTACTTAATAGGGGCTCGTGGCATAAAACCCTAAACCCTAAACCCTAAACATTAAAGCTAAATTAAATCAATTAAATCATAAACTCTAGAAGGTGCCTATACACCTGAGAAGGACTGCATTTTTTGTGTTTTGTTCTGCCAGCAACTGCATAAACTTCATATAAAAAGCGATGAAGAGGACAAAGAAAAAGAAGCATTAAAATTAGAGTTAAAGGGGTTTAAACAAATCGAAGAGAGCACGAGACAACTCCTGCAAATGCTCAGCCACTCACGTAAACCCTAAACCCTAAACCCTAAACCCTAAACCCTGAATAAACCCTAAAACCTAAATGAATAACTCTGAATAATCCTAAATAAGCAACAAACATATATAACCCTAAATCATCATAAATAAACCCTAAAACCTAAACCCTAAACCCTGAACCCTAAATAACTCTAAATAGAGATAAAAACAAACCCTAAAATAAACCCTAAATAACCGTAAACCCTAAACCCTAAACCCTAATTATTTGTTTGCGGTTTTATTGTTTTTGTTGCTGCGTCTGTTGAAGACCAACAGTTCCCTCCTTCTTTATTTTATTTAATAAATAACATTCAGCAAATAAATAAAAAAAACAAAGAAGAAGGGTTTATCTACAATATATTTAGGCTGGTCGAAGAGCTCTCTCGGGTGTACACGCAGATGAAAGAAGCAAAAGTATTTTAATTAATTAATTAATTAACTAATTAATTATATTTTTATTTATTTATTTATTTATTTTATTATTTTTGTTCTTGTCTCTGCAGTATAGATAAGCTATCTACATCATTTCTTTCTGCTGCTGCACACTGCTGTTGCTGCTGCTGCTGCTGCTGCTGCTGCTGCTGTTGCTGCTCGTTACTGCTAGCTGCGCTCTTCTAGGCTGCTGCTGCTGCTGCTGCTTCTGCTGAAGCAGCAGCAGCAGCAAATGCTCCAGCCTCTTGCTACTATTGTTGCATCTGCTGCTACAACTTGAATTTCTGCTGCCATGGTCCCTTGCTACATTTGCTTCTGCTGCTGCTGCTGCTGCTGCCTACTGCTGCTACATATTTCTTTTTGCTATTGCTGCTGCTATTGCTGCTGGTGGTGCTGCTGCTGCTGCACTGCAGCCTCATCCATTATATATGCTGCTGTTGCGGTTTTTGCTGCTGCTCACGCCTTCGTTGCTTGTGGCATTTGTGCTGCTGCTGTTGCTGCTGCTGTTGCTGCTGCTGCTGTTGCTGTTGCTGCTGCTGCAGCTGGAGGCGGAGCAGCTTGAGCGAAGCAACCAGGAGCTGCATGCGCTGCTGCTGGCTGAGAAGAACAGCAGCAAAATGTCTTTTTCTTCATTTCCTTTGCTGCGATGTCGCCTAGTTAAAGCAGAAGCAGAAAAAATAATGCTGCAGCAGCAGTTGCAGCAGTTGCGGCAGCAGCTGCAGCAGCAGCAGCAGCAGCAGCAGCAGCAGCAGCACCAGCCACAGCAGCAGCAGCAGCAGAATGTGCTGCTGCTTTCCCAACAGCTTACAAGCTACCTACGGGGTCTGCAGCAACAAAACCATCTGCATGCAGATGAGCAGCTGCAGGACCTGGAGCAGCAGCAGCAACAGCAGCAGCAGCAACAGCAGCAAATACAACAGCAGCAAATACAACAGCATGCACAAGAAGTACAAGAGCAGCAACACCACAAGCAGCAGCATCACCACCACCACCAACTGCAGCAGCAGCAGCAGCTGCTGCAGCACCAACAGCAGCAGCAGCAGCAGCAGATGCTAACGAAGCAATCCTCATCCGTGCTGCAGGCAACCCTGCCGAAGGTGCTGCAGCAAATGCAGCACTACCATTCTCAACAACTATCACAGCAGCAGCAGCAGCAGCAGCAGCACGTATCTTGCTGCTCAACCACAGCAGCCAGCTGCTGCTTTTCCGGGGCTAACCGAAGCAACAGCAGCAGCAGCAGCAGCAAATGCTGCAGCTGCAGCAACACTTTGTGTTACAGCGTTGCCTCCCAATCCAGTAGCTTGCCCACTGCAACATCAGCAGCAGCAGCAGCAGCAGCAGCAGCAACACCAGCAGCAACAGCAACAGCAACAGCAACAGCAGCAGGAGAGGGCCCTCACCACCACCACCGCAAGAAATGTAAGCTGCACGCAAGAAAAGCAAACAAGGCAGCAGCAGCACTAGCTGCAGCAGCAGCAGCAGCTGCTGCTGCTGCTGCTCCTGCTTCTGCTGCTGCTGCTGTGCTGCAGCAGCAACCTACAGATGAACGCGAAAGCCCTTTTAGCTGTACAGACACCGCAGCAGTTTAAACCAGAGCAGCAAATCATGTCTGCTGCTACAACAGTGCTGCTGCTCCTCCCTTCTGTGCTGCTGCTGCTGCTGCTACTTCTGATGCTGCTTTTGCTGCTACTTCTGATGCTGCTGCTGCTGCTACTTCTGATGCTGCTGCAGCAATAGCAGCAGTCAGCTGCAGTAATTAATTGTGCAATGCAGCAGCAGCCAAACGAAGCAGCAGCACTAACAGCGAACTGCAACAGCAGCAACCAGTAGCAGCAGCAGCAGCAGCAACTGCAGCAGCAACTGCAGCAGCAACACGAACATCAGCAACAACCGTAACGGCAAAACGCAGCAGCACCAGCAGCTGCTGCAGCAGCAACTGCAGCAATAACAACTGCAGCAGCAACAACTGCAACACCAATAGCTGCAGCAGCTGCAGCAGTAGCATTGCTGCAGCTGTTGCCGCAGCAACAGCTGCTGCAGCAACAGAACAACCGTAATCACTCTGAAGCAGCAACAGCAGCAGCAAATTTTCGAACAGCAGCAGCCGAGACCCATCTCATCCGCCGCTAAGCCAGCAGCAGCAGCAACAGCAGCAGCAGCAGCAGCAACAGCAGCAGCAGCAACAGCAGCAGCAGCAGCAACAACAGACTGGTTACTAATTGAATTGAAATGAAGTTTATCAAGCCAAGAGATGCCGCATACAAACAAAAACTCGCGGCCCCCCTGTCTGCAGCATCTGCTGCTGCAGTTTGCTGCTGCAGCTTGCTGCTGCAGCATTTGCTGCTACAGCTGTTGCTGCTGCTGCTGTTGCTGCTGTTATCTCCCACTGCAGTCATTCTCATTCGCAGCTGCTGCTGCAGCATTTGCTGCTGCTGCTTTTGCTGCTGTGCTTCCTGTGAGCGGCTGCTTGGCTTGTGCTGCTGCAGCTGCTCCTGCAGCTGCAGCAGCAACAACGCCTTGCTTGCTGACGCTCCATCGGTTCGAGCTGCTGCTCGAAGCTGCTGCTGCTGTTTCTGCTGCTGTTGCTGCTTTTTCCGCTGCTGCTGCTGCTCCTGCTGCTGCTGCAGCACAGCAAGACACCAGCAGCATCTTCTGCTTGCTGCATGACGACAGCCGCTAGCATAAACATAAATGCAGACATAACAAATGAAATTGCTGCGGCGTATACGCACCTGCAGCAGCAGCAGCAGCCACAGCGGCCGCAGCAGCAGCAGCAGCAGCAGCAGCAGCAGCATTGCTGCTGCTCCTCCCCTTCTGCTATTTTGCATTTGAAGTATATATTATAAATAAAAAGCAATGACCTTTAAAATGCAGAGACAAACAAACAAACAAACAAACAAACAAACAAATCAATCCATATTATTAACCCCAACTCACCAACAACAGCTAGCTAGCTAGCTAGCTAGCTAGCTAGCTATCAAGAGCTAGCTAGCTGGCTAGCTAGCTAGCTAGGCCAACAGCTAGCTAGCTAACTAGCTAGCTAGCTAGCTAGCTAGCTGCCCAGCTAGTAACAACAGCTAGCCAGCTAGCAACAACAGCTAGCTGGCTAGCTGTGTAGCGGCTAGCTAGCAATGAGGGCTAGCTAGCTAGCTAGCTAGCTAGCTAGCAACCACAGCTAGCTGAATAGCTAGCTGTGTAACCGCTAGCTAGCTAGCTGACTGGCTAGCTAGCTACCTTGCGGAAAGAGAAGGCCCATAAGGATGCCTCGCCTTTGCATTCGCAGTGCTGCAGCTGTTTCTGCTGCTGCTGCTGCTGCTCCTGCTTCTTCTACTGCTGCTGCTGCTGCTGCTGCTGCTTTCGCTGCTGCAGCTGCTGCTGCTGCCTTTGCAGCTGCTTCTGCTGCTGCTGCTGCCTTTGCAGCTTGTTTCAATCGAATAAAAGAAGATCCCTGTTCAACATTTTCTTGCTGCAGCACTTTGCTGCTGCTGCTGCGGGTACAGCTGCTGCTGCGGCTGCTGCTGCTTCTCTCGCTTCTTTGGCCGCTGCATCTTTCGCGGCTGCAGCTGCAGCAGCTGCTGCATTTGCTGCTGCTGCTGCTGCTGCCTTTGCCGCTGCTGCTGCTGCTGCGACTGTTGCTGTTCATTCTCATTTGCTGTTCATTTCGCTGCTGCTTTTTGCTTCCACCACTGCTGCTGCTGCAGCTGCTGCTATATTTGCAGCTTGCTGGTGGTGCTGCTGCAGCTGCTGCTGCAACAGCTATTTCTGTTGCAGCCGCTGCTGGTGCTGCTACAGCTGCTGCTGCTGCTGCTGCTGCTGTTTTAAACAAGCGAGCCCCCTGTTAGAGCGTTTGCTGCTTTAATTTCTTCAGGCGTAACTCGAAAAGGTAGCACAACACTACCAGCGCTGCTGCTGCTGCAGCTGCTGCTGCAGCTGCTGCAGCTGTTGCCGTACCAGCTGCTGCTGTAGCTGCTGTTGTCGGCAAGATCGTCTGCAGCAGCAGCAGCAGCAGCACCTGCTGCTGCTTCTGCTGCTGCCTCCTCACTCATAAGGCCGTCACTGTCTCCAACCTCCGCCAGGCAGTACCAATCGTGCAGCATTTGCATAGGAAGGCCCCAGCAGCTGTTGCTGCTGCTGCTGCTGTTGCTGCTGCTGAGGCTGTTGTTGTTGCTGCTGCTGAATTCGTTGCTGCAGCTGCTGCCGGCATAATTGTTGCTGCTGATATAATTGTTGCTGCTGTTGCCGTTGCACAGCACAGAAAAGTTCTGCTGCGACGTCGTAGCTGCCGCAGCAGCATTGGCCGCAGCAGCGGCAGCAGCGGGAGCAGCAGCAGCAGCAGCAGCAGCAGCATGTTTGTCTTCAGATGCAAACGCTACGGGCAGGGGTTTCGGCAGCAGCGTCGGCCTTCTTATTTCTCTGCTGTCTCCTTCATACTCTAGCAGCCGCTTGCCTCTAGTAAGCCCACTTGCTGCTCCTGCTGCTGCTCCTGCTGCTCCTGCTGCTGCTGCTGCTGCTGGCGGCGCTGCTGTTGCTGCAGCAGGCAGCATAAAACCACCGTCGAACAGCATCGAAGGATCCACTCTGTTGCTGCCTTCCAGATGCTGCTGCTCCGGCTGCTGTTGGTGCTGCTGCTGCTGCCGCCTTCGGCGAAGCTGCCGCTGCTGCAGCAGCAGCTGCTGCTGCTGCTGTTCATGCGGCTGCTGCTGCAATTGAGGCTGCACCATCTGATCGAAGTGCGCGAACTGCTGCTGCTGCGGCTGTTGCTGCGGCGGGGGGTAAAGGAGCATTTGCTGCTGCTGCTGCTGCGGATACTGCAGCATTTGCTGCTGTTCTGGATAGAGAGAAATGCATTGCTGCTGCTGCCTCTGCTGCTGCTGTTTATTAGGAATACAGAGAGAGCAGCAGCAGCTGCTGCTGCAGTTGCTGCTGCTAAACATTGGTGAGGAACACGCAGCAGCAGAATAATTGCCCTGCAGCAGCAGCGGCCCAACCCCCTCCTGCTGCTGCTTCTGCTGCTGCTGCTGCTGCTGCTGCTCTGTTGCTGAAAGGCGTTCAGGAAGACAAAGAAACCCATCAGCAGCAAACTGCTGCTTTGCTACATGCACAGGCGAGAGTGCTTCAGGAGATGCAGCAAACCAGGTCTCGCTGCTGCTGTCGCATGTTAATGCTGGAGAGACAACAAGAGGCGTTGCTGCTGCTGCTGCTGCTGCTCCTGTTGCTGCTGCTGCTGGGGCCGCATCATCAACGCTTCTTCTCTCCGCTGCAGCAGCAGAAAAAAGCTTTTGTCTCCGGAGCTCTGCAGCACACAAACAATACAAGCAGCAGCAGCACTAGCAGTAGCAGCAGCAGCAGCAGCAGCAGCAGGAGGTAGCCAGCCTATTGCTGCAAATTTTGTTTGCTGCTGTTTATTTTCAGTGTTTGCTTCTGTCTATTTATTTATTTATTTATTTAATTTATTTATATATATATATATATATATTTTATTTATGTTTATATTTTGTTTGTTTCTCTCTCTGTTCATATTATATATATTATTTAGTATATTTAATTTATTATTTTATTTATTTAATCTTATTTATATTTATTTGCTTAATTTTATTTATATCTCTTACCTCTATACAATACCCCTCTTGTCTGTACAGGCGATAAGATGTTCTTTTGTTTTTGTTTGCTGCTCTTTTCATGTAAACGCTGCTGCTGCTGCTGCTGTATTTGCTGCTGCTGCTGCTGTCTTATATCCACGAAGCTGTTGCTGTCGCTGCTGCAGCAGCTTGCGGTATTCCCTGTATAATCGATTTGCATTTGCTGCTGCTGCTGCTGCTGCTGCTGCTGCTGCTGTTGCATGATATGTTGTTGCTGCTGCAAGTTGATTTGTTGCTGCTGCACATTGATATGTTGCTGATGCATACTAATATGTTCCTGCATCTGTTCCTGCTGCTGTTGCATCTGTTCCTGCTGCTGCTGCTGCTGTTCCTGCTGCTGCTGCTGCTGCTGCTGCTGCTGCATGAGGGGTCGTGCAGCTCTAGCAGCAAGCACATAGCTTAATACTTGAACAGATAATGCTGCTGCTCCTGCTCTATAGGGTAAGCCTCCCGATGCTTCATCTGGTTCTTCTATAAACGAAGGTAATCCTTCAAATCGGCGAGGCAGCACTAAGCGGCATGCAGCAGCAAACTGCAGCACTAACTCGAGTGTCTCCACGCTAACATCCTGAGTATATCATATCATCATACAAACAAATAAACATATTTATACTTATTTTTATATTTATTTATTATATATATACATATAAACAGATAAAGGATACAAACAATAAAAAATACACTCTTTAAAGGTAAATAAATATATAAATAAATAAACAAATAAATAGACAAATAGATAAACAAACAAACAAATAAACAAATAAACAGACAAACAAATAAACAAATAAACAAACAAAAAATAAATAAATAAACAACATAAGACGAAGACGAGCTGCATAATAAAATAAATAAAATAATTAAGACAAAGACAAAGACATACAGGAACGAAGAAGTCGATAGTTTTTCTTCTTCTTTGTCTTGTACAACAACCAAACAAACAAACAAAAATATATAAACAAATAAACAAATAAATAAATAAACAAACAAATAAACAAACAAACGAGCTGCATAATAAAATAAATAAAATAAATAAAATAAATAATTTAGACAAAGACATACAGGAACGAAGAAATCGATAGTTTTTCTTTTTCTTTGTCTTGTATAATAATCAGCCGACCAACAGGGTCTATGTTTATTAAAATATAAACCTGTTAATTCGCTCTTCTTCAACATGTCCATATCTATTTTAAATGCTGCAGCTTTTAATGCTTTAAATGCTTCTGGTGATAGCATGCGACGCGACCAGCGATGTACTTCCTGTATACAAACATATACATAAAAATAATTAATTAACTAAATTATATATATATATAAATATATATATATATATACATGTACATATTAAATAAATATATATAATTATATATATATGTAGAATAACTTATTTGTTTATTTGTTTTATTTGTTTGTTTTATTAAATAATTAATTAATTAAATATTTTATTCATACAAATAATTTATTATTTTATTTAATTAATTTAGTCTTTTATATTTTATTTAATATATAAACGGATTCCTAACTAAACAAATAATTAATAAATAAATTAATAGATATATTAATTTATTTATTTTAACTAATTAGATATTTTTATTAATTAATTATGTTAGTACTTAATCTAATTAATAAATTTAATCAATTAGTTTTTTAATACTTAATCTTTAATATTAACAATTTACTTATTAATTAATTAATTAATTAATTTATATATAATTTATAATTTATATATTAATTAACAAATTATTTAATTTATTTATACTCAGTAACTTTATTAATTTATTATTATTTGGTAGTCCCTTATTTATTTAGTTTGTATTTATTTATTTGTTCGTTTATACACTTTAAATATTTAATATTTAATTAATATTTTAATATTTAATGACAATTAATTAATTAACTAATTAATTAATACACCGGCAACAGCAACAGCAACAGCAGCAGCAACAGCAGCAGCAGCAACAGTAGCAAAAGCAACAACAGCAACAGCAACAGCAACAGCAACAGCAACAGCAGCAGCAGCAGCAGCAACAGCAGCAGCAGCAGCAGCAGCTGAATACCTTGATCGGATAGTTATGGTGGCGAGCGACGGGATATAACATAGAGTGCGAGACACCGTAAGCAGCACATGCTTCCGGCGACAAGACTGTGCTGCTGCTGCTGCTGCTGCTGCTGCTGTCTTTATTATCCTCACCCTCCTCATTAGCATTACTAGTGTTGCTGCTGCTGCTGCCGCTGCTGCTGCTGCTGCTGCTATCCGCATGCAGCATATAAGAACAGCCTGCTGCTGCAGTTTCTCCCCCGCCCCACGGCACCATACCCTCTTCCCCTACATCTGCTGCTGCTGCTGCTGCTGCTGCTGCTGCTTCTGCAGCTGCGGCTGCTTCTGCTGCTGCCGCTTCTGCTGCTGCTGCAGCTGCAGCCTCTGCTGCTGCAGCTTCTGCTGCATCAGCAGCAGCTGCTGCTGTTGCTGCCGTCGCTGCTGCATGCCCCTCTACTACAGGATCCACGCATTCTCCACCGCTTCCGCTGCTGCTGCTGCTGCTGCTGCTGCTGCTGCTGCTGCTGCTAAGGCCCAGCGGCGTGTGAACGTGAGAGCCTGCTTGCATTCTGAAGTATAATTAATCAGAGGTAGAAAAATAAATAAATATAATTAATTTATATTTTTAATAAAAAAACAAACAAACCCCTGAGGCTTGTCTGTATGTCTGTCTCTTTCTTTGTTTATCTTTGTTTCTCTTTGTTTATCTTTGTTTATCTCTTTCTCTCTCTCTATTTAATTTATTTATTTATTTATTTATTTAATTTTTGTTTGTCTTCACCCGTCCTTTGTTCGTCTATATTATCTTGTTACACACTTATCTTCTTTCTCGTCTCCCTCTGTTGTTTTATTTGTTTATTTATTTGTTTTATTTATTTATTTATTTATTTATTTATTTATTTATTTATTTATTTATTTCTAATCACCAGGTGTATATTCAAATATATATATTAACTTTGTTTTATTTATTTAGTTTATTTATTTATTTATTTATATCTTTATTGTCTGTCTCCCTCTTTGTTTTTATTTTTTCGTCTTTGTCTTATTGTTTTATTATATTTATTTATATTTATTTATATTTATTTGTTTATATTTATTTATTTATATTTATTTATTATAAACGATTTCTTACTTATTTTTAGCTAACGGTTGCAACACCCCAAGCAGTTTAAATAAATAAACACAAATAATAATAATAATAATAATTATATTTATAACTATAATTATTATAATATCAATATAAATATAAATATAATAATAATATTATAATAATATAATAATAATAAAATAAACAAATGAAAGACACAAAACTAAGAACGCCGGATTACGTGCTGCTGCATGCATTCACCTACACAAGCAGCAGCAGCAGAAGCAGCAGCAGCAGAAGCAGCAGCAGCAGAAAGAGACGATTTAAATACTCTTATTTATCTCCACACTAATGCAGAAGGCGTAGCAAATAAATTAAATTCGGCAACAAGCCCTGCAGCAAAACAAACAAAACAACAAAAAAGACAGAGCTTGTTCATTTATTTTATCTTTTATTTTATTATTTATTTTATTATTTATTTATTTTGTTTATATCTACTCCCAGATCCATATCTGCATGCATTCATCTATATATATATATATATATTATATACATATATACATAGGATATACAAGGAAATATAACACAGCTTGCATGCATGCAGCAGCAGCAGCAGCAGCAGCAGCAGCAGCACACCTCGAGTGCCTTGTATAAATGAATATAGGCCTCCAGCCACTGAATCTGCAGCAACAACAAAAGGTGCACACACCGACAACATTAAGCATGAAGCAGCAGCAGCAGCAGCAGCAGCAACAGCAGCAGCAGCAACAGCAACAGCATCAACAGCAACAGCAGCAGCAACAGCAGCAGCAACAGCAGCAACAGCAGCAGCAACAGCAGCAGCAACAGCAGCAGCAACAGCAGCAGCAGGCGACTGCAACACCACCAGCACGACGTGAAGAACAACCACCCCCACACGCAGCAGCAGCACGAGCAACAGCAGCAGCAGCACGAGCAGCAGGAGCAGCAGCTATACAAGCAGCAACAGCAGCTACAGCAGCTACACGAGCAGTAGCAGCAACGCATGTAGCACAATACAGCACCAGCATCAGCACCAACAGCAGCAGGACTGCCAGCAGCAGCAGCAGCAGCAGCAGCAGCAATACCAGACCAGCAACAGCAGCAGCACCAGCCCCAACAGCAGCAGCAGCACGAGCAGCAACAGCAGCAGCAACAACAACAGCACTAGCAACAACAGCAGCACCACTAACTGCAGCAGCAGCAGCAGCAGCAGCAGCAGCAGGAGGGATACCTAAGCTGTGTGTTCGTGGCGCTCAGAGACTAATTAAAATGTAGCTGATTTCTTTGTTTTTGTTTCAAGAGCAATACGTGACAGAAGAATAAATAATAACACCTTTAAATAAATATTAATATAGAAATGCAATCGGCTGCCTTTGCCCGCCGATGCTGCTGCTGCTGCTGCTGTTGCTGCTGCTGCTGTTGTTGCTGCTGCAGCGAGGTGTTCAGCAGCAAGCCGCCAAAGAAAGCTGATGAAGAAGCAAAAGGCGTATGCAGCAAAAGAAGAAGCAAGGAAAAGATATAAAGCTGTTCATACACTCGGGAGGTGAAAAAACAAACAGTGCAGCCACTCGCTCCAATGGTCTGTCTGTGCTGCTGCTGCTGCTGCTGCTGCTGCTGCTGCTGCTGCTGTCCAGCAGCCTGCTGCAGGGCTTTGGGGGATTAAATAAAGAAATAAAATGATAGACAAAAGAGGGAATGAAAAGAGCAACAAACCCACAAGCCAAGCTAAACCCCCAAGCCTCTTGACTGCGCTGCTGCTCTCCTGGTGCGGCGGTCGGCTGTAAGCACCAGCACCCCAACACCGAGTGCTGCGGCAGCTTGTGTACGTTTGCTGCTGTTTCTAGGGTTGTTTTGCTTGAGTTTTAGAGATACAAACAATTTAAATTGTATTAAAATTAATTATTTTTATTTAAATATCATTTTAAATGGTTTTTATACACCGAAATGCTGTGCCTTGTACTACGCCCACATGCCTCGGTGCCTTCCTTAAGCTTGTCTCATTCATACAATAAACATATTTTCTACCTCTTTTCTCGAGCTTTTTAATTATATTTACAATTAAAACACTATTTTATTCTTCTTCATCATAAATATTAACTCAATAAGAAGCAGCAGCAGCAAAAAATGTTGTCGATCGCTGCAGCAGCACCCCCCATACCCTGTGCATCGGGAGTCGCTGAGCGTATTTTAATGTTATTTTGTATTTACTTTGTTTATTAATTTGTTTAATTATTTAATTTTATTTAAATAACTCCAAAATAATCTGTCGAATTCAAAGCATATTTACCCCCACACAACAAACACTCTTTTGTTGTTGCTGCTGTTTCGGTTGCCGCTGCTGCTGCTGCTTTCTGCTGCTGGTTGCACTGCTCGATATGCTTGTCTCTGCTACCCGCCTAATTTTGTCGCTTTGTCTGTCTTTTAAATCATAAAAAATAATATATTTCTTCAATTTTAATTTACTTTCTGCTTTTCTTCTGCCCTTAACCCTTCAGGCTGTCGATAGACCATTGGTCTCCTCAGCAGCAGCAGCAGCAGCAGCAGCAGCAGCAGCAGCATAAGCAGCAGCAGCAAAGCGAAAAAAGCCAATTAAAACCAATACAAGACTAACTAATTATAAATAATAAAAACAAAATTATTATTTATTATTACGAAGATATTTAATTAAAATGAAGAAGATGTTTTTTTTTTATTGCTGCTTTTGCTGCGGTCCTCTGCTTTATATACACCCCAACTATGCCTCTGCATTGCAATTGCTCCTACCCACCATCGTAGCTAGCTAGCTAGCTGCTGCAGCTAGCTACTACAGCTAGCTAGCTAGGCACCGTAGCTAATTTTCACAGCTGGCTACTGCAGCTAGCCATTACAGCTAGCTACTACAGCTAGCTAAGCACCGTAGCTAGCTACTGGAGCTAGCTATTACAGCTAGCTACTACAGCTAGCTACTACAGCTAGCTACGAAAGCTAGCTAGCTACGAAAGCTAGCTAGCTACGGGAGTTAGCTGGCTACGACAGCTAGCTAGTACGGCTACAGCTAGCTACTACAGCTAGCTGCCCCACGCTCAGGTTTAGACCCAGCGCAGCCTGAAGAGCCCCTAGTGCCGTCTGCGGGTTGCTGTTGCTGCTGCTACTGCTGTTGCTGCTGCTACTGCTGTTGCTGCTGCTACTGCTGTTGCTGCTGTTGCTGCTGCTGCTGCTGCTGTTGCTAGAGGGAAGGAAATGCCTTTCTCTCTGTGGAGTTGAAGAGCAGAGAGTAAAACAAACACAAAAAAAATAAAAATATATATTTAATTGAAGAGCAAAAAACAAACAAAATTAAATAATATTTGGGGTCACCGCCTGCATGCATTTATATTTATATATTTATATTTATATGTTTATATTTATATCTATATGTTTATATATTTACATTTATATATTTATATATTGATATTGATATTGATATTTATATTTATATGTTTATATTTATATTTATATTTATATTTATATTTATATGTTTACATTGATATTTATATTTATGTTTATATGTTTATATTTATATTGATATATTTTATATTTATATTTATGCTTATACTTCTCTTCCTTCTCTTTATCTTTCTTTATCTGTCTCTGTATCTGTCTGTCTATCTTTATGCTTATCTTTATGTTTATCTTTCTTCCTAAAGCTTAAACCCTAAACCCTAAACCCTAAACCCTAAACCCTAAACCCTAAACCCTAAGCCAGCATCCAAACCTAAACAGCATAAATTCGATGGAGATGTCTCCAAAGGCGACTGCCCAATCAAACAAACCCTCTTCATACGGATCCTCAACGGGGCCCCTTAATGGGGGCCCCTTAATGGGGGCCCCTTAATGGGGGCCCTCAATGGGGGCCCCTTAATGGGGCCCCTCAATGGGGCCCTTAATGGGGCCCCTCGATGGGGCCCCTTAGTGGGGGCCCCTCAATGGGGGGCCCTTAATAGGGCCCCTTAATGGGGCCCCTCGATGGGGCCCCTCATTGGTGCCTTATAGGGGGCCCCTCAGTAGGATCCCTCAGTGGGGCCCCTTAATGGGGGCCCTACTGAGGGACCCCTCAATGGGTCCCTATAGGGGGCCCCTCAGTGGGGCCCCTCAGAGGAGCCCCCTCAATGGGGCCTTATAGGGGGCCCCTCAGTGGGGCCCCTCAGAGGGGCCCCCTCAATAGGGTTTAAGGGGGCCCCTCAATGGGAGGTCTTAAGGGGGCCCCTCAAGGGGGCCCCTCAGGGCTGTTTCTTAGGAGGCCTTTTTGGGGGCCCTTTAGAGGGGCCCCTTCGGGGGCCCCCCAGAAGAGGCCCCCAAAGGGCCCGCAAGGGTTTAGGGTTTAGGGTTTAGGGTTTAGGGTTCCACTAAGGGCCTCCCTGTGGGGGCCCCAAAACCCTAAACCCTAAACCCTAAACCCTAAACCCGAGCAGCCTTTAACTGCCTTGAGCGGAAGGGTTGTGCAGAGGAATCAAACAACAGGTTTAGGGTTTAGGGTTTAGGGTTTAGAGAGACAAGGAGACAGGCAAAGAGACAAGCAACGCCTTCAGTGCTGCTGAGTGGGGGCCCCTAAAATAAATAAAACAAAATAATTAAAATATGTGCAGTGAGGCCTTAATATTATTATATATTTAATAATTTTGTTTTTATTATTATTTGGGGTGCTCCTCCTCGTATGTCTTATTGCTGGCTGGTTGCTGCATTTTATATCCACTGTTGCTGCTGTTGCTGCTGTTGCTGCTGCTGCAGCTGCTATTGCTGTTGCTGCTGCTGCTGCAGTTCGTATTGCTGCTATTGCTGCTGCTTCTGCTGCTTCTGTTTCTGCTGCTCCTGCTTTTGCGGTTTCCGCCGCTGCTGTCATTGCTGCTGCTGCACTTGCTGCTGCTGCACTTGCTGCTGCTGTTGCTGCTGCTGCTGCTGCTGCTGCTGCTGCTGCAGCAACTTAAAGGAGATAATCATGAGAAGGAAAGGGGCTAGGAGATGAAGCAGAGAGCACCAACAGCTCGCATGCATCCGAAGACTTAGGGAGGCAGCAGATAGGGGTTTCTGTTGCTTCTTGTTTTTGTAAGTGTTGCTGCAGACAGCGGCGTACAACGAATAACTCAAATAACAATGAGCAGCAGCAATTACATGCAGACAGCAGCAGCAGCTGCAGCTGCAGCAGCCGCTGCAATGCCACCAACCCCAGCCACTTAAACAACTCTTCACGAAGACCCTCAAGAAGCAGCAGCAAACCCAGCAGCAGCCGCTGCAGCACGGAAACAAGGCCCCAATCTGCTGCTGCTGCTGCTGCTGCTGCGGGTTTTCCTGCTGCTGCTTTTGCTGCTGCTGCTGCTGCTGGAGGAGATGAAAAGGATAAGACGGGGGGGTTTAGAGACGGAGGAAGCAGCAAAAAAGAAACGAGAAAAAGCCAAAGAAAAATCATGTACAAGACGCAGCGACGGTTCTTCATTACACCTGCAGCAGCAGCAACAGCAGCAGCAGCAGCAACAGCAGCAACAGCAGCAGCAGCAGCA